AAACTTTTAAAGAGATTTCTCAGGCTGAAGAGAGGGCTCAGTGGATAAGATTACTTGCTGTGCAAGCAAAAGGACCCGGTACCTATTGGCAATGCATGCCTATAATCCCAGTACTGGGTGTGGGGGCAGAGACATGTGGATTCTGGGAGCTTGCTAGCCAGCTAGTCTAATCAAAACTGCAAGCTTCAGTTTCAGTGACAGACCTTGTCTCCAAAACTAAGTTGGAGAGAGACGGAAGACTCTGAACATCTTCCTCTGGCCTCTGCATGCACTTGCCCATGTACATTCGCACATACACACACGCCACACCACACCTACACAAGGAAGGAGGGGAGGGGAGGGAGAGAAGAAAGGCTTTGGTCCTAGGAAGCCACATGCTAGAAGCAGACTCCCACAAGTTGTCCTCTGACCTCCATGCATTGCACACACCCAAACATACACATACACACACAACAAATAATTTTTTTACAAAGCTAAAGATGATTTCTCAAAAGCAGCCCTTAGCGTCTAACTAACCTTGCTCTGATGTGTGTTTCTTCACACAATTCAGTAAGCACTTATCGTAATGTGCTTTTACAATGCTGTTTGGAATTACTGCCCTAAATTCTTTTGAGGGCATATCTTTGCTAAAGATGTATTTCATCATAATGTCAGGATCAGAGACTTAAAGAGGCAATCCCTGAACAGACTGCTCTGTGTCCTTGTCTTAAAAAGAAAATCATTAATGACAAGAGCTGCAAAATAAGGTCTATGAACAAAACTAACTAGAAGTGTGTCTACTTTGCTATTTTCTTCAGAACTGCTTTCAGAAAAGAACCTCTCACATAATAGGTTGGGTCTGGGAAACAGGACATCTTCCAGCATGGCATGTGAGAAAACACAACTTTAAACAAGAGTCCAAAAGAGAACAGACGATTCCCCCTCTCTATCTGTGCTTTTCCATATAAGTAACACGACTCTTCAGCTGGGGCAGAGGTTAAAACAAAGCAAGCTAGTTAAATGCAACATTCTTATTCATCCATTAATATTCCAATAAATGAAAATCAACTCCCATGGCAACTTCCTTGCCAGAAATGCTGTTAGCAGAAATAAAATAAATGAGAACCAGGAAGTGGCTGGTGGAGAGATGTTGTGTGAAAAGAGTCTATGCTCAAATAAAGCCCAACTAGGAAACAAGAGGTAAATACATACGGGTCCTGGAGCACTGGAGGGGCTCTTGAGGAAAGAGGAGAGAGATGGGACTGTCATTGAGTGAAGAAGGAGAACATGGAGAGGGCATATCTCTGGGGCTGCCGAGAAGAAGGCACAGGTGCCCAGAGGGTACTCGTCTGGGTAAAAGGCCTTCCTCTAAGCCAGACTCACACTCATCCTGGGGATCTGCTGCACAGTTCTCTGCTTTAGAACTGCCCCTGTCAAACAGGAAATCCCCAACCAGCCTGGCGTCTGACAAACAAGATACAACCTCAGACTGGCTACCTAGAAGGAATGCTTCCTAACAAGGATCAATATGCAGGTCAGACCTGGGTCAGCTGGAAGAGATCAAAGATAAGACAGACACAGGCATGCATCATGCTTTGCTAACTTGAGAGGTAAGAATCAGCTGTGGGGGCCGGTCATTGGTGGCGCACGCCTTTAATCCCAGCACTCAGGAGGCAGAGGCAGGCGGATGTCTGTGAGTTCGAAACCAGCCTGGACTACCAAGCGAGTTCCAGGACAGCCTCCAAAGCCACAGAGAAACCCTGTCTCGAAAAAACCCAAAAAAAAAAAAAAAAAAAAAAAGAATCAGCTGTGGGTACAAATCACACAATTGCTGGTGGCTAGAAAAGCCCCACAAGAAACTATTCTGCCCTCTTAGCAGTGCCTGACACATCCCCAAGTGTTCAACAGGAGGTGGAGGCAAGGAGTGGAGATCCCGCTTCTGAGACAAGAATGGATGTGTCCGGAAGCTCTGCTTCACTTACAAGCAGGATGACTAAGCAGGCTAGTATGAGGTGCTGATAGACCATCTTCCTTTCCTGAGAGATGCCCCTGTCAGTAAACATGAGGGGATGTCCAGGAATCCACATCTTTGATGGGTACAAATAGAAGTTCTTGGGCCACGCTCTTGAGATTCTCCTCCAATAGCTGGAGAGGTCCACATTCCAGTGTCCACCTGGATTCTTCCCTCCCATCTCCAAAGCAAAGAGCTCTTCCCTCTCATCTCCAAAGCAAAGAGCTCTTTCCATCTAGGACCATCAGGATAACCACAGACCATACAGATTCTTAGGATGATGAACTAAGCCAATTCTCTTCCCCTAGCGAGATTGAGTCACATTTACCTTTCCATCAGGCTGGGCCACAAGCCTTAACAGAGCCAACCCCATTCTCCCATGTGCTTATTCCTGCATATGCGCTACACAACACCGCAGAGAAGGTAGGCGAGTCCTACAGCACCCATCTGACTTTGAGATGTGGAGGAATCAAGGTGTCTGTTTCTACTGCTTTGCTCAGCTGAATGAGACAAGCATGGAAAGTGTGGATGTTTAAGGTTAAGTGAAAGACTTTAAAGCAAATGTTTGCCTACAGTGGAGGTGTTTATGGGTATACCTGCAGACTCTTAAAGGGACACAGTCTTTCTCCTTCACAGTAGGGTATTTTGATAGAAAGCTTGAGCAAATATTTACTCCACGGACCTAGAGATAAATGTGCTCCTTCTCCTTTAGTGTTTCCTATATGAAGTCCAGAGAGGCGTGATGGACCCTGAAGACAGCGGCTACTCAGAAGGAGCCCTACAAATGGTTCCAGGTGATCTTAGTTCTGGCTTCTCTGTCACAGCCCTCCCATGTTCCCCTAACTTCCAAACTCTTCATAGTGCATTAATCTTCAGATTCTTCCCCAAAACACAGTATTACAGAGTTGCTCTGGAAACCCTTGTACACAAAAAGGAGTGGCTAGGGAAACTCCATCTACTCTCTGCATATCCGTTTAAGCATGACAGGGACAGGGTAAAATACTGCCGGCAAGCCTTGCCTGGGAACGCTGAGGCAAGCACAAGGTTTGAAAACGTGGGAAAGCCCTCTCTGCACCCAGTCACGGTAGCTGGCGCTTCCGGGACGAGCCCAAGCGTTCCCACTTGCTGTCTCACAGACCTCTCCCCGGGAACCAGGTATCTCTGTCTCCCAAGGGTGTAAACGCCGGCCAAGCCTGATTTACAAATGACACATCTGGGATGCAACTTGGATCACCTCCTTTTCTCTACTCCACCATTTACTGCCTCCTAATTTTCCTTTTCCCCTTTAAACAGACCCATTGCTTGTTACTGTAATGACTGGATTGCTTACTATCCTTGTATTTGAGGCTTTTCTATTAGCAATGGTGTCAATGGGTTAAGTATCAGATGTGTGGCTCCTGGTTCTCAGGGTGTTTAGTGGGTTGGAATTACTTAACTCCTGTTATACTCAATGCTGTCTCTAGGAGGGTCTGACGCAAAAGCCCCTGTAGTTTCAGTCAAACCATCAGGCTCTGGCTCAGAGGGCTCTCTTCCCTACACAGGTGACAACTTTGGATACGGCTGAACTATGCTTATTAATGTGTAGCGGGCCAAGGTTAATAGCTACAAAGGAGGTAGCTTAAATCTTCCCCCCAGTAAGTCGGAAGGTGTCTCAGCTGCTGCTGTTATATTTAGGTAGGCCGGTCCCCATCCCTTGTCAGTCTGTCCTGTGCATAATAAGATGGAAAACAAATGACCCCAACTTTTATTTCCAACATCTGAGGGAACAGAGGCAATCTTATTCCAACAAAGCACATCACCACAAATACCTTTCCCAGCTCAACAGAAGAGCCCACTGACTCTCCTCTGACCATGTGTCAAGTTCTAAACTCCACTGTCAGTTTTGCCGGGTCCTCTGCGAGCTTCATCTGACCTCTTTCACAAAACGTCCCTGTAATTTCTCTAGTGTCTCCTCTGATGATTCAGTTGTTCGCTCCACACCCTCTGTACGTCCTGCTTATAGTTCTGCAACCCTATCAGACTCAGTTTCACTGCTTAGCCCAGATAGGCACCAAGCCAATGTATTGCCAATAGCACTCACTCTGCACTAACTTAAAATACACAGCGCAGCCTGCCAAGTTTCCTTATTTGGCAAGAAGGTCCCTCAGTTCCCAAGATCTTTGACCATCCATTTTTAGATCTAAATCTGTGTGCTTAATATTTGGTTATTACTTCCCTTAATGTGTTCTTATGCCCCCCCCACACACAAGAAAATCCTTCTAAAGGATCAATCATCCACTTGCTTTCCCAGACAACAAAATGTTTCCCACTTAAACTTTTGACTTGCACATTCTTCAGTTAAAAAAAAACCTTCAAAATAATCCCCAAAAGTACTTGTAGAAATTATATTGTAAAAGATTAAAATAAGCAGTACACAGTGCTCCAAAGGGCAATTTTTCCTCTATCTTAATTCTCTTTCCAAACAAGCTAAATTCATGTTCATTTACAGTCGCCAATCTCTCACTATTGTAACAGGAATCTAAAACAAAGACTCTACAAACGACCAAAACCATAATTAAAATGCAGCCGTCACTTTTTTGTTGTTGTTAAATCTAGAAAGGAATGAAATTTCACTGTAGAGACAGGCCTACGACAAAGAAGTCTGCACTTGAATCGTTTGTTTATTTTTATCGTTAAATATTTTGGTAGGTTTGGATCCACTAAATCCTGGCAGTTGGTTTCATCTACGGTCAAGAAAGCCAGAAGATTCGCTATAAGCGCTTCGGGGGTAAAACAGGAAGACACTTTCGACAACAGTATGAACTCAGATAGCCTCAATCCATTCTGGAAGCCGGTTCTCATACGCATTATTAATGAAGGCTGCTTATTGTGAAATCACTGGAACGGGCTACCAAATGGTGTGCTTTCATTATTAACGAAACTAACATAAATAGTAATTATGCTTTCCATAAACAGTGCTTATGCAGGATCTCCAGGCGCACGAGAAACATACATTTTGAGCAGCCCAACAATGACGTGCCATTGTTTTTCAGACAGTTCCATGGCATCTGGGCAGTTTAGAATCAAAGTTGTTCTCAAAGCTGTCACGCGCGGGGCGAGGCGTGGCTGCGGCCGCGGGAGCCCTCACCGCCGAGCCGGAGGAGGGCCCCCCGCGCCCACGACACCCGCGAGGGCTCCCACGGAAGGCAAAGGTGCTCGGGAAGGGCGGCCGCCGCGGGCTTCCCGAGATCGCCGCGGGCTGTGCCAGGCCGGGCTCTTCCGGGCACCGAGTGCCCCACGGGACTGTCCCGGACTTGCCCAGGCCGTACTCGGCCCAGCGGCAGGGGACCGCGAGGTTCCAGGGCACCGGGCGCGAGCCGAGGACAGCCGCCCGCCGAGCCCCGGCCTCCCGCACCCGCGCTGCCCGGATCCCCGAAGGCCCGGGCCCCGCCGATCCTCCAAGGTGGTGCTCCTTCCCTCCTCCCCGTCGCCCGCGGCCCCCTACCTGGCTCCCGGGCCCGGTGCGAGCGGCGGCGGGGGTCGGGGACGGCGGCCCGCGCTGCTCCCACGCTTCCGCCGGAGTCAGGAGTTGAACATTCCGCCTCTCCGCGCGGCGCCAATGAGGAAGACGTCGCGGCAACAGCACCACCTACCTCCGGGCGCGGAACCGCCGGCTGCCCTGCCTCCCGGCACGCCCGGCCACACTCCCAGCGGGAAGGCCGGGGCTCGGGGTCACACAGACCCCGGGTGCTGCATGCCCCCGCGGGACCTGATGCTCTGGCTGGGAAGGGGACAGCAGGGAAGTCGATTTCTATGGAGTCAGGGTTGCAGGTGCCTCGGTTGGAACCATCAACAGGTACTTTGGAAATTTTGAGGAGGAGTCACCGCCTGCTGCTCTGGTTGGTGACTTTAAGATAAAGTGCCTGCGATTTCACATTGAGGTGACAAGAGTCCACTGAAAGTGTGGAAGAAAATAAAAAGTGGCACCGGGCTTTAGGAAGGAAAAAAAAAATGGACTGGGGAGGATGGAACCGGATAGGAAAGAGAGAAGAGGTTGCAAAAGTAGGGGAGACATTACTGAACTAGAATTCAGTCACTCACACACCTGGAGAATTGTGGGAAGTTGAAATGGTGTAAAATGGGTGTTTGTGTTTTAGTGCATTGCTTTATATTGGAGAGCGTGGCTTAGAAACCTTGTGATTTTAAGCCACATATTTTCCTCTCCATTCATCATGGAGGTGATTTGGAGAATTGCCTAGGGATGGAAACAGAATAAATGCTAGATACTGTCACTTCCTGCTTACAGATAGGACCCCGAGGACCTGAGTGAGAAAGTACAACACAGAATCTTTTTTTGAAAAGGAAACTGGAATTGAGAGACGTGTTTCAGAAAGAGGCCACAGAAATTGGTGACCCATTCGATTGGGAAAGAAGAAAGAGATGATGCCAGGATTTGAGACCTAGGTGACTGGAAGAATGGCGTGTCATTGACAGAAATAGAAATCTGGGAGAGGAAACTGGCTTCCTGCTGAGTTTTGAAGTCATGAGAGGAAAAACAGGTAGAGATGAAACAAGAAACAGAAATCAGAAGAGAGGCCAAAGGAGAAATAGAAATCTTGAAAACTGTTCATATATGTTTAGCATATGAATTTGGAAGGGTGGGTAGATATAAATTAATAATTTTAAAAGCCCTCCTGGTCTGTTATTACAAGGGCTGAGGATTTTAGATTAATAAATTACATCTAGGTAACCGAGAAGACTGAAGAAAACTATCACACTAAAAAAAATTTCTGCTGTAGGTGATCAAACAATTGTATAAGCTGCCTGTCTACTCAAAAAACGGGTGAAGGGCTCCTCAGGGCGCTGTGAGCAGGAAGAGACGTGTCACCATACCTTAGCTGTATTAAAGGTGCTGGCAGTCAGAGAACCTGGTGTTGCTGTTGGTTCTTCCTCACCAAACTAAGGTGTTAGGGTCCAGCTCACCTGCCAGCCAGCGAGCCATGCATTACTGGGAGCAGGTAGCTTAAAAACTTCCATATTTTAATCTAATTATTTCTCCTCCTCGTCCACTTTTCCTTTGTTCTATTTTCCCTCTGTAATTAGGCTCAGAGAGTAACCAACAGGAACAATCAACTCTACAAAATAGTTTCGAAACCATACTTGAAGGAGCATCTCGGACATCCCCTGCCTTCCTGTTTATGTTGCAAGTTCCTCGAGGCCATACCTTATATCCTATTGAGCAGGACTGTGGCTGTAATAAAAGCCCAATGATTCTGTGATTGAGTGAACGCCTTTAATCCAGCACTCGGGAGGCAGAGGCAGATGGATCTCTGTGAGTGCGAGACCAGTCTGGTCTACAGAGCGAGTTCCAGGACAGCCTCCAAAACAATACAGAGAAACACTGTCCCAAAACAACAACAAAAGATTTACTTCTATTTTATGTGTGTATGAGTGTTTCACCTGCATGTATGCATGGGCACCATATGTGTGCCCGGTGCCTGCAGAGGTCAGAGGAGGGCGTCAGGTTCATTGGAATTAGAGTTATAGGTGTTTGTGAGCCACCATGTGAGTGCTGGGAATTGAACCAGAGTCCATTGCAAGAGCAACAAGAGCTGTTACCCACTGAGTCATCTCTTCAAGTCAAGCTTTGATTTTTCTTTTATCTAACTGCCTGTTTACTTGTGACCAAATGGGTCTCTTTAGATCCCAGAACTAATAGAGTCTACCATTGTACTGACTCCTATCATTTGTTCATCTTTCTCAGACTTAAAACAAATCTTCTTGCAAGTTGATTTTTGGTTAATCCTCATTGGGTAGAATATAGATTTACAAATGTAAAGAGCAATAGCAAAAAAGTTCTGGTCAAAACTATCAAACCTTGTTATCCCTTCCCTTCAAAGGCTCCCACACTAAAAATAGATGTACTCTCAGCAGTGGTAGGATTTAGAAGTCCTTAGCACCCTTTATGATGAAGAACACCCTCAAAAATAAGCGTGCATTCTAAGTGTGTGTGTGTGTGTGTATGTGTGTTAAATACACCTTAACAAAAGTGTTACCTCACCCCTTATTCAATGGAATTGTTTCCCCTAAACTCCCCTTTAACAGAAATCCTGGAAGTGCCACTAGCTATGAGAGGAAGAGCAAACAGGTAGCTTAAAAAGGAAGGAAGCCACCATTGTCCCCTCCTCCCCTGGAAGCCATAACAACTGCAGGACAGGATATTCTGAGACATTTTCCCTAGCCATCTTAGTCCTTCATCTCAGACTGAGAAACTCTGGCATCTGCATCACAGCATCGCGTCTAAGAGCTACCCGACTTGTCTCTAAAGGCTAGTGCTTCAGCTGCTGTACAACTGTGAGTTCCTAGGAAGTTAAGGCACACAACCAAGCATCCTAGGAGGTTAGCATGGTCATTACCTTAAAATGGGAAATGAAGCCTACATCACCGTCTGCAGAAGTCAGCTCCCTGGAGACACTTCTTCCTTCCACCACTGCTTGGTAGCAAACACCTTTATCTGCTGTGCCATCTTTTAACCCTGTATAATGGATTTTGATGAAAATTCACACCAGTAACCCCAGAATCTGAGAGGCTAAGGCAAGTTGTGAGGTTCACTAGGCTACAGAGTGAGACCTTGTCTCAAAAACCATAACAAAATGAAAAGTAACCATTGTCCAAACTTCAAAAATCAGAAAAACATCTCTCTTCCCCACACCCCCACCCCCTGTTTTAGAAAATCTCCTTAATGCCTGTAGAAGACACAGATTCTCGTTCTGTCTCTGTATTTAATGTGTGACACCACACACATTTACCCTCTGAGAGCTCTACACAGTAAAAATATTCTTAGCTCCCTAAGCTGGAGGGACGTAGTTGCTCATACTGTGTCTCAGGACAATGTCTTAGCTGCCTTGAATAGGAGCAGAAAGTACTTTGCTAGACATTAGAACATGTGAAATGTAGTGCCAATCTTCTGCTTAGACAGCTGCCCCCCCTTGGGGGACTATACTACTTAGTGGTCACGTGATAACAGAGCCCCATTTGCTGGAATGTTCAGTCCTACACTCAGGATCACTCTTTGCTGTGTGTGCCACGCCAGCCCTTCAAATCCAAGACTGAGCTCCTGAAACTGAGTCTGTCACAGCCTCCAGCACCAAGCCCTGCTGTCTTACGTTATGGTAAGAAACTGATAATCTCTTCATAAAAGATATGACTTGCTGTGGTTTCCTGCTGGAATCCTAGCGTTATTGCTAAATGGTATACCCGGTGTGTGAACACCAGTGCACACTCATTGAAACCAGGAAGTGCCTAATTTTCCTTTACTGGGATCAGGGAGGGTGGTGTAGCTCTATTTCAGTAGGACCTTTGACAGAGTTCTCAGCATGATTTTATAAGTTAGAAAGTTTAGCTGGTGACAACACAACAAAATGAGTTTCTCTAAGAGTGGGAAGTAAAACCAGGAGCACTGAAACACCAGCCTGATGGATGGGCTCCCCTAGGAGCACTGAAACACCAGCCTGATGGATGGGGTCCCCTAGGTGGACTGCTGGGTTCCCCTTACTCATCTGTCCGTTCAGCCTCGTAGCAGCTTGTATGAAGACCTGTGTGATGTACACATTTAATGATGGAGGAACGTGAGTTTAGAAGGAACAGCCAATATGTTTGACAGAAGAATCATTTCAGGAGCTGGAGAGATGGTTCAGTGATTAAATACATGTACTTATCTTCCTGAAGACCTGAGTTCAGTCCCCAGCACCTACATCAGGCAGCTCACAGCCATCTGTAACTCCTGCTGCACGGGCTCCCTGTCCTCTGTGGGCCTCTGCACACATACATATAATTAAAAATAATAAAAAATAATTTTGAAAAACAGTTATTTCAAAACCCCATGATTTTAAAACCCAGCATGCTGGGCATGGTGGCACAGTCTAATCCCAGCTCTTGGGGATCATGAGTTTGACACCAACTCTGGATACACAATAAGACCTTGTCTCAAAACCAAACACCTCAGGAACCTTTGGGAACCTTTATGGATGCCTCATTGCATCAGGCACAAGTTCCTCATAGCACTTTGAACACCCTCAGTCGTCTAACCCAAATGTTCCTGACCCCCAAATTATCTGCCGTCTTCACGAGCTTCATAGGTGCATCAGGCTGAACCACGTGCTTCTGGTCTCTGAGCTGTGCAGCTCCGTCCCAGCACCCCTGTCTTAAGGACCATCTAAGACTTCCCCAAGGCCTTTCCCACTCTGCAGATTAGTAATAATCCCCTTCCCTGCGGGTTCTCATAACACATTACACTAGAGTTTTACTCCAGACTAGAATCATTTAACAATGTACATGCCTGTCATTTCCTGCTCTTCATGGGTCTTAAAAGCAAGATCCATGGATATCACTATTGTGTCTGAGCCCTGTACCCACCCTAACTGACATGAGGCAGCATTTGAAAGCACTCAAATATTTAATGAGGAAAAGAAAATGAATTACAATTGAGTTTACGATTCAATTAGTTCCATCTTTAGCGATTAGAAACTAGAGCCGGATGGAAATGAACAATGCATGATCATTAATTCTGTTGGGCGAATTACCAGAAGTTTTGCAAATACATAGATTGTTAAGTGTATTTAGCCCATAAAAGAGGAGCCGAAGGATCAAGTGATGCTACAGAATTTGCTCAGTATCACAGAGCTCATGAGTCGAGCTGAGTTGCGTGTAAACTGCAATCGGCCTGATCTTGTATTTCCTTTCTATTTCTATTCCTTTCATTTCCTTTCTATTATACTGAATCTTAGATGAAAAGTGCTTTGAGAAATGTCTGATAAAGTGACGAGTTTCAAACAGTGATTCTTAACCTGTGGGCTGTGACTCCTTTGGAGGTCAAATGAACCTTTCATAGAGGTTGCCTAAGGCCATCAGAAGACACAGATATTTTCATTTCAATTCATAACTGTAGCAAAATTACAGTTCTGAAGTAGCAGTGAAAATCATTTAACGGTTGGGGGTCACCCCACCGTGAGGACCTGTATTAAAAGGGATGCAGCCCTCTGGCCGTGGAGAACCACTGGCTCCGCAGCATCTGTCACTTGCACAATGCTTTCCCAATGGAAGCAGATTGCTACAGATTAAGTAGCAATGCTTTGGTGTATACACAAGAAAAAATTAATATATTCCCTGCCTTGAAATTTTTCCTGAAAGACTTTAAGCTTTTTCTTGGTGGTATTTATTAAATTCAGGTTTCCCAACCAAGTAGCATAACTGCAAAGGTACTGGACATCCAGTCAGATAGGATGTCTCACGATGTGAATATAATAGTTTCTCATTATACTAGTTCAGGAACAGACGCCTAAACCTCTGTGGATAATATCTTCAGGCCAGGTGGTAGTGGTGCATGCTTTTAATCCCAGCACTTGGGTAGCAGAGGCAAGCAGATCTCTGTGAGTTTGAGGCCAGCCTGGCCTACAGAGTGAGTTTCAGGATAGCCAGGGCTACACAGTAAAATCCTGTCAAAACAAAACAAAACAAAACAAAAAAACTAGAATATCTACCTATATGTGAACCCATCACACTAGTGAAGTAGTCAAGAAAGTGAGACACTCCACACACCTCTGGGGGGGAGGGGCGGGGAGGCATGGGGGGAGGGGCGGGGAGGCACGGCACTTGTCTGCGCATGCCCTACTCATGACTACTCATTGCCCTAGGTTCCTCCAGCACTGTCTCCCTCCCGGCAGCTTCACCTACTTGGCGTCTCTCCATATCAGTTCTCACCCTCATCATTGCGCCTGGCAACCAAACATACTCTGCCCCCATCACAGGTGTGGTGGTAGAAAACTCTATTTACTAAGAATATTATTGAAATCTAAAGGGCAACACGCAGAATAAAGTTACCTAAACCCAAAGCGTAGTGAAAGTAGTCAAGTTTCTGAAATTG